TCTTGGACGATTGCCTTGAATTTTTCAAAAAATGTGCAGCTCATAATATTACCTTGCCGCCCTACTCTGTGCTCACTTCACCAGATGATCTTCAACAATTATACGAGAACAACTTTATCAGTAATTTCCGAAATATCCTAATGGCGGCCGGTTTCCAAGGTTTAATCGAACGTTTCAAGTACTTATTGCCGAACAACAGAATGGACTTCAAATTTAATCACCAGATAAGTGAAAAGGAAAAGTGGATTGTGATACGTGACTTGCCAGGGGAACACTATGTCACCTGCACAACGGTTAAAGACTCGCGCGTCGTATCAAACGTTACCTGCAGAGTTGAACACGAAACGAAGAATTTAATGCCAATTAGCCCACCCAATACAAATAATCCCACTATCATGTCGGACGAGGCGCAAATTGACATTTGGCTCAAGACGTTCTTTGCCAAGGTGCGCTTTCAGCGTGGCATAAATGGACATATGAGCTTCCGACTGATTAAATGTCAGGGTACATCGCAATTTATACCGCTAGGCGTACGTGTTGGCGTCTCTTTACCATACATCTGCTACAATCGTTCCCATGCTCAAGTACTCTGCCGAACTATGAAGTGCATACATCGAAGACAACTAAGTTTTACCAACCTAGATGAAGAATCTTCACTGGCGGCTTTGACAGCAAGCTTCCGCTGGAGCTCCAAAGAACGCTCCACTCCGACTACTGTGTTGGACAAAAGAGAAGCTTTGTTCGCTTATTGGGATCCGCTGCCGTATTGTGCTTACTATCACTTTCAGTTGCCTCTCAAATCTGTCAAGATGTTCTTGCAAAGACGCCACCGATCTACAAAGACCTTATCGCCACGAATCACAATGCCAGTTCATTGAACACAGTGCATTGTGCAAAACGCGGTGCATTTAAAGTAAAGGCATATTGCCTATTTAACGGCAAGCAAACGTAGGCTGGCGCTGCCCTTGGGAGAGATCAATAATCAATAAATATGTACATATGCATATAAATGATTACTAAGGATACATATTTACCTGTGTGTACGTATTTATGCATCTGCATTTTCCCAACATAACAACTAATTACTTCCGTTCACTAAGAGAAAAAAAAAGCGATCGAGTACAAAAAAAAAAACCAAAAACATATCTTCAAGGTACATAAAAATGATGCGGAAAAATCGAGAGAGATGAAATAGACTGATGGTGGTGAGATGGTATAGAATTGATTGAAGATTCCGGATGCGGGATAATTTTATGGTTTAATATTTAAGTCAACATAAAAGACATGTATGTATGTTTGTTCTAGATACTTTTAAGCATAGAGAGTTATTGTTTATTATAATAATATTTATTTTTATTAGTGTGTAAGATTTGGAGCTAAGGGTTTATTTTGTTACTTAGAGTGTTAAGCTTTTGGTTATGTAATAAATATTTTTATAAAGCATTATTTCAGTATGTATCATTAGTAATATAGTACCTTAATTTTCCAAATGAAAAAGTGAATAAATATGTGGCAACGCTATTCAAAAATATTTCTAAATTGGGGATTTACCTTCAAATTTTTACCCATACTATGATATTTTATTTAATTTGTAATAAATTCCGATTAGGTGTCAACCTTATACGAGTATTTTCGGAGATAAGAGGTCTGTTCGATGAACGCACTAAAGTACTCTGGTGCTTGAAAAAGCGTGCAATGAGCGCTTCTCTTGCGCTAAATGTCAGATGTTGTTCTGCACAGCACTATTCTACACCTTTTAATGCACCCGTCTAAAAGAGCTAATACTTGTTTAGATAACCTTAAAATGCAAAACATTATCTATATACAAAATTTCCTCAAAGTTATCGTGATGCTGGATTTCCACTAGGCATTAAATGGCAAAAATGACAAATGACAAAGTCGGGCATTATAAAACAATCGTGTCATTACATTAAAAAGATTGTCATTAAGTTCATTTCCACATGGCATTTTTTTAAATGGCATACAGTTTTTGTCATTTCAATGTCGAGTGGCATTAGAGCCGCTTCCGTGAAACCTATGAATATAAGTACATATGTATGTATATATATATAAATATATGTATATATATTTATGTATATGCAAGAATTGATTGTTTAATATAATAAGAATATATAGATACTACTGTAGTTCAGTACTCACTTCAATGTTACCTACTCTATATTTTACTATACGTGTGAATTTTTCTTAAAGCTCAGATAGTCTAGACTTATAGCCCAGTTATGCATACTTGCACTGCTATACCATTTTTACGTAAAAATCAAAACCCAACAGAATTCTACATGTTAAGTGCATGCATTGGGTAACCGCTTACACGCAAAGCCCATTTAACAGATTCTTATGTGACAACTCTCATGCGACGCTAAGTGTGCATAACTATTTAGGCTATTAGTTTTCGTAACTTAACTTAACTTAATATTTTGACCAACCTGTAATATGAGAAACTGTGTTGGCGATTAGTTAAAACTTAACTTACCGTAAGAAACTTAAGAACCAGTTGGTTTTAGGTTCTTAAGTTACGGCCATACGGGAATTTGAAAAAGAAAATACAAAAATAAAATATTTCCGCTCTTGGCTTAAGTTGACGTGTTGAGTAATCATTGATGATTTTTTACGGTAAGCTAAATTAAGTTAAGTCTTGACTAACTAAGCTTTTAGGTTCCTAAGTTACGACCTTACGAAAATTGAGAGCGATGAGAACGCACTTTTTTCGGGTGAATTGAATTTTGATGTGGCATTTTAGCCGGCGAACTGTTAAACAGCTGAAAAAGAAAATAAAAAAATAAAAATATTTTCGCTTCTGGCTTAAGCTGACGGGTTGAGTAATCATTGATGATTTCTTACGGTAAGTTTAGTTAAGCTAGGTCTAGACTAACTGAGCTTTTATTATTCAACACTTGCTTATTGGGATTTTTACGTAGTAATTTGGCCTTTTATTTTCAAGAAAACATTTACCAGCCGGCAGAGTTGTAAAACTGTGAAATCATTTAAAATTTTAATCATGAAATATTTACAAGTAGGATTTCATTCATTTTCCTTTGGTCTGGTAGTGTGGCTTATATTTTTTTCAATCTACAATCATTAAAAAAAAATTGATTTCACACAGTAAGCTAGTAAATACCTGAATGAAAAACTGAGAATGCTGAAGTAAACATAATTCAATACTGAATTAGCTTCCAGATGAATGAACACTTTGCTATGTGTGCATTATCTAATTCAGTTCCAATCAAATTGTATACACTAAGAAAAATATGTAAGTTTAGATGATGGAATAATGAGGTGTATGAACTTTAAAACGATATTGACATAGTGTCGCGTATCAATGCACAGCGGCCACGCGGGCTAAGCCATGTCCTACGAATGAATGGTTGTGCTTGGACTCCTCCACGCATGAAACGGAGCTTGATTCACATGAACATCATATTGTACAAATTTATAGTTTTGGTTGTTTAAAAACTGAGTGAAAAATGTTCCAAGACAATTAGTATATATAATTTTTTTCTTTTAAAGATTGGAAAATCTGCAGAACATGAAATAATCAAGCATAATAACCATCAAATGATAGCAGCTTTTATCATTCAGTCAATGGTTTATCCACATACATATGTCTTTTTTAAAATACATATGTGCCAATTTTCGCGCGGCCACCCTTTATGATCAGTTTTTATTTGAAAAGAACGATATTCTCATTTCCCAATACCAGGCGCTCATGCATGTGAAGTAACAAGTTTTCTATTTCTACGTACAAAATTGTTTGTATAAATTTATAAATTTCCAAAATTCTACTTTGTACAGTTAAAAGGCTTCTACAAAACACCGAACAATTTTCGCTGCCGACAATAATAAAACATTTCGCCCTCGGAAACAAATTTATTGTCGGTAACATTGCCATCGTATCGATTTCCTATCACCAGTCGCTCTAAAATAATTATAAAAAAAAAAATAATTTTATTCTTTTTAATCTTCAATTATTTTTTGTATACAAAATTGGAACTTACATAGAAACGGAAATAATTCTTTCTTTCCCTATGGGGCTTCCTATTTTTGCAATCGTGTCCTTGGTAAAAATTAGACGATTTTAGATAATATTGTTGACGCGACATGTATAAGTTTGGGAATTTTTGATAACTTATTTATTACAAAGTTGACATGAAAGAAATGATGTTGCCGATTTGTCACCACAGCAACAAATCGGTGAGTCGCCCCATTTGTTGCCATTGACGATTGTTGCCTATGTCTCATGTTTTGCATGGTGGAAATTAATAATAATAATAATAATAACAGATTGGCGCTTACACATATGTTAGTGTTTGGCCGAGCTTCTCCTGGTGGGAATTAATCTCACTAAGAGTGGACATAGCACCACTGATGGAAAAGTAGGCACAATAGTGCCATTTTTGGCACTTTCATTCACAAGGGCACTTTGGGCACAATCATAAATTATAGAAATTTAGCCAGTATATAACAAATAATCATATATTAAGTGAAAATTAAAATCACTTAAAAATTAAAATAAAGGTCATTATATAAAATTAATAAAAATTATTCAATGTAAAGAAGAATAGTCAAAACTGGTAAAAATGTCGGACTGCTATTATTTCGCACATAGTATGTAGGTATTTATGCATATGTGTAAACAGGACCGAGTAGCTATATTTCAGTGTTTTTCACCTTCGTAATCGGAATATTGTGCTATTTTACTATGCTTTAGTATATATTTCAAAAAGCAGACAATTTGGCCCATAAATGCGTTAGATATAGACTTTTATTTTTTGTTTGTCGCGGCAGACCTTCCGAAGGAAACACCCATATATGCTTCTTAAAAAGCCTTAAAAGAAAGCAATTTCAATTTTGTGGCATTTTCATATCCTTTTGGCACTATTTTTGCAGTCCATTAGGCACATTTTAAAATTTTGAAATTCCATCCCTGCTTATTTAGCACTGTCTCACCTTTATATAGAGATACTATAATTTAAACTTACGCGTCATCATAGTAGATATTTGCATTCATACGTATGTATGTATTCTTTATGACTTCATATTAATGCCTACTTTAACACGTAGTTTTTACGTGTTGTTGCCTTTATTTTTATTTTTTTTTTATCACAATTGAATTATGTATGTACATATGTATATGGATTTAAACAACATTTTCGAAATAGTTGGTTACTCGAATTGTTATAGTGATAATTGACTGCATGAATTCAATGCATAATGATCCTCTTTAAACCTGCATTTAAGCTGCTAAGTAAACCACTAAAGCCCAAACATTAAACATTCTTATTCGTATACCGAATTATGTACATATGAGCATATGTGTTTGTAAGTATTTATTTGGTATAATTGTTTTGTTCGCCACTTGTCGCAAAGTTTCCATGGAAATATTTTTACGTTATTGTATGCGTTGTTGTAGTTATTCCCTTATCTATCCCACGCCACCATTCGCCAGTGCCAACATGCACTTGTATCCCTTGTATCCTTCAGCTACGTACATACATATGTACATATGTATTGTAGTACATTGCAGTGTGGTGCACGTGAGTGACGAAAGCACCCCTACGCCCTTTCCTCTATTTCGTATTCACATATCGTACTACATAGTATGAGAACTCAGTTGGAATAAAGTTATATTATGCAAATTGAAAAAAATTTACCAAATACATTTCATTTAACTAATAATATGGCATTTGAGATCATATTACTGGCATCTTCTCGTTTTCCTTCAACCAAAACCGAAAGTGATGAAACTAAAGGCAACAACGAAACTTCATCATGTGAAAAAATATAACCGGAGTTATTATAGACAAATACCGTGACTCAAAAACCCCTTGGTTATTTTTATACCCGAGCGCACTTGTGCACAAGGGTATATTAATTTTGTTCACATAACGGTTGTTTGTAACAGCCAAAACGTATGGAGATAGATATAGACAAATGTATACATAAATGATCAGAATGAATAGAGAAGTCGATTTAGCCATGTCTGTTTGTCCGTCCGTCCGTGTACACGATAACTCGAGCAAAAATTGAGGTATCTCAACGAAATTTGGTATGTAGGTTTCCATTAATCCAAGATAGGTTGGTATTGAAAATGGGTGAAATCGGACTGTAACCACGCCCACCTCACATATAACGGTAATTTCCAGAAATACGAAAACTGCAATATTTCACTCAAAATTGATATTTACAATAATTTTCAGACGAAAAATAAGAATGTTATAAATATTTGGAAAATGGGCGTTGCCACGCCCACTTATGGTTACATGTGTATATCTTGGTAACCGCTGCACCAATTTCTTCCAAACTTGGCACAGTTGTTGGCCTTCGTACAGCATACTAAATGGCCGAAAATTTAAAAAATCGAACCATAACCACGCCCACATTCCATATAACGGTAATTTAGAGAAATACAAAATCTTCGATAAATCAGTAAATATTAAAGCTACTTTAATCAAAATTTATGCTTGCAACAAATCTTTACCAAGAAATACATTTATGGTAAAATTTTGGAAAATGGGCATGGAATTTTGGAAATGGGTGGCACCGCCCACTTATGATCACATATATGTATGTACATATGTATATCTGTAACCGTTCTACCAATTTGTACCAAATTCGGTATTTTTGTTGTGCTTGCCACATAAAAGCAAAACGTTGAAAATGATTGAAATCAGACTAAAATTACGGCCGCTTTTCATATAACGGTAAATTTTAGAAATGCTTGAAACTGCAATATTTCGAAATTTAAGGACGCTAATTTACTCAAAATTGATACACACCGGCTTACCATCTAGCGGTAGGTTTCGGGTGAAAAAACATATTGCGCCGGGTACTTAATGTTCGGCTCCGCCCGAACTTAGGCACTCCGCACATTAAGCTCCTAATCATAGTAGTGTAATCGTTTCGGCATACTAAAGTATAAAGCTTTTATGCCGAACACATGTGTTTCAATGAAGCTCTGTACATTACGATTCAAAATCTTGTTTTCGCCTAAACATAAAAGCTGCATGAATCGAAGCGCCCAACATTGTAAGGCGCTTGTAGTTTTGAAATCATCATTTGTTTACTTTTTTGTGTTGGAAATAAAATTTATTTGTCAATTCAATAGAAAATGAATGATTTCGTGCTAAAATTCGTGCAAATTGTATTAAACCACAAGCGTTTATGCAATATTACGAAGCAGAAATATTTGCGGAAGTGCGTAGTTGCGAAAGAACGGCCAGAAAATTTGTTATGTGTAGAAAGTGTTTATTAGCTGGTGACTTATGCACGGCGTGCAAGTGTACAGAAGTCGAGTCGTCATGCATTCGTTTCGGCATGACGAAACGATTACTCTAGTTTGATTAGACGCGTAATGTGCGGAGTGCCTTAGACTTTCTTACTTGTTTTTTTTTTTTTATATTCACAATGTCTTTGACGTAAAAATATTTTTTCTGTTTTCGTTTGTATATTTAAGAATATTGTTTGCGCTTTAACCATACCCATAAAAATCAAGGACTCAAGCTATATACAACATTTGCAAATCCGAAAATTGTTGTATAAATTTCGAGCCTTTTACTCTGAATCCTTAGAACATTTTCGGGTATTCAGTTTTATAGCCCATGGAATGTTAGTATAACCAACAATGTGCAGCTGAAAATTCCCGTTTCATTTTGTCTACAATCTGTTGTCGCCGGTCTTTTGTGACTTCTTTCATTTCCCAATTGCCATTTAATAAAACAGGCGTTGATTTTTTAATTTTGTTTTTGCGAACAATCATAATGAGTATTTACATACCTGTCCCTTTTTTTTCTTTTTATTTAAAGAATCATTTAAAATATTTGGGCAATCAAGAGGAATTCACAATAAGTATATTTTGATTTGGTGCCTATTTAAGATACCTATCCCAAAATGCGCATCAGCTGCATTATTTTTAACATTTATAAGGAAACTGCTCCGATAGATGCATTCAACATACCTGCACACTAACTTAAACATTATGCAACTATTATCAATTATCAAAGAAAGTATTACCATTCGGAAAAAACTTCGTTCACTTCGTTAATTTCTACGTGATAAGTGCTCCTCCATCATTTGGTTTCATAGGGATTCGGATACCTTCCTCATTAAAGCAGAAAAAAAAATTCACTTAAGTGCTTTTTCGGTTAAGCGCACAAGTTTTTCGTACAAGGAAGGAAGGGCAGCTAAGCAAAATATACTGTATAAGGATAACTACAAAAAATAAAGCGGGAACGAACAGTTTTATTTTTTTGCAAACTAAACACTTTAGTATCTAAAAGTCTACCAAAATGAAAAAAATTGCCTTTTACCAACCCTAGGCTTGTCTACCAATTTTGGCAATAATTTATCAAAGTACTGATAACCTTTTCAATGTTTGTAGAAGTTTAAACATTTTAACTCATATGACAGTTATTGCAATCAACTAACTTCTAGACCAGGGCGTATCAATTACAGGTGATGGCGATAGAAGCCATGCTTCTTCTTAAGAGCGTATCAATTACCATGATGCAATAATACAAGGTGTTATCAGTTGGCAACTTCTCGCTCTAATTGCTCCATATTGACTGCCTTACGTGAAACAGTGTTACTTCTTTAACTATTCTTTGCCCATTAATATAGTTGAATGTTTTTAATTTTTTCTCAGTATACAATACTTTGTTTTTTTAGAAAGGTATTTTATCTTATTTTATTTCGTTTCATAACGAATATACCATAAAAAAGCAAATTTTGTTTAGGAGAAAATGTGAAAATTTATATATTTCCCCCATATGGGGATTCATTTCTTCCCGTTTTTCTTCTCAGTCTACTGACCTAAGGCAGTGTCAAATCGAGCTGTCACAACTGATACCACCTTGTATCATTGCATCATGATCAATTACAGGTGATGGCGATAGAAGCCATGGCGCGTATTCATAGTCCAGCAACTATGTCGAAACTAACAAAGTTGCTACTTAAATTTAAGTACCAACTTGAAATTTACTTCTATTCATAGTTGCATTTCAGACTTCTACTAAGTAGTTTCGACTTAGTTTACGATATAGCAAAACGAGTGTGAAAATGTATCGATTTTTCTTTACGATATTTTGGAAAAATTACATTTTTATTAAATAATGTCAAGTTTGATCATCCGTTTATGTAATTTTTATTTTCATTGCATGATTATGCAAAAGAATAAAGTATAATTTTCTTGTTAATTGTGTGAAATAGCCAGAACAACCGCAGTGATGTGAAGTCGATGTTTATCGAAAGCATGCTGTGAAACATACAAATAGTAGATATCTAAATGTTATGCACAAATTTACTTTAAAAGAACTAGCGTGAAACTGACTTATTATTTGAGAATTTATCTAAATTATTCCAATTATAAAATTGTGATGTAGCTTTATTCGAATTGTAATACGCATTTAATTTCATCTTCCGATTAAAATGGATCGATCTTTGTAAATTTTAATGGGAGATTATTCAATATTCTCAAAATCACCCTCTACCAATTTAATTTTTACATAATTCGTCTGTTTTCCCTAAATTTGATAAAATACTTCTTCCTAGTTAGGACTTAGTTGCAGCTGCAGCCGAAACTAAATTTTAAGTTGGTACTTAGCCAGAAAAGTCGAAACTAAGGCGACTATGAATAGCTTTAGTTGTGACTTAGAATAGTTTCGACTTAGTTGAGTACTAAATATGACTATGAATATGCTCCTATATGTTTATAAAACATAACCCAAATTAAATTACAAAAAAAAAATATGTTAAAACTTGTCAAAGTATGGTGCGGCTAAAATTTTTACGACCACTGTATGTAAACAAGTGACAAAAAAATATATCAAAAATTCCACGCTTGAAGGAAAGCTTTCGATTCACACATAGACAGAGTGAAGTCCCCGCTGAATGCCGTAGCTTTTTGAACGAGAAAAGGTTTTTCTTAACAGCGGTCGTCCCTCGGTAGGCAATGGCAAACCTCCGAGTGTATTTCTGCCATAAAAAACAGGTTCTCATAAAAATACAATCGCCGTTCGGAGTCGGCGTAAAACTGTAGGTCCCTCCGCTTTGTGTGACAATGTCAAGGCGCACGCCACAAGTTGGAGGAGAAGCTCGGCCAAGTTTGCTATTTCTGTTTTGCTTCTTTCTTTATGTGTATTTTTCCTGTGGTTTATTTCAGGGATTTTTAACCGATTTTCAATAAATCTTTTGTGCAAATGTAATTAAAATGAAGTGCGCGGTGATTGGTTGCAGAAACGCTTACAAAAATAATAAATTCATTAGCACAACCTCGTGCTACAAAATTGCTTGAATTTTTTTCTTTATGCTTCGTCGCGCACGGCAACAGGTCATCTTATTGCCTTCTTATAATCAAGACGTTGCCATTTTTAACTTTATTTTCTTTTTCGATGGTCATATTATAATCAGGCAATATTAAAATGAATTTTTCACCATCGAATAAACAGTGAGTTAGGTATTTGCAAATTATTTTTTTTTTGCAAATAGCTTACGTATAAACGTAGTAAATTATAAATGGTGCAGTAATTAAACAAATGCCAAAATCTAAAAAATTATGTACAGCAATATAAAATATATATTTAAATACTTAAGTATCCTTCGGTCTTGTTTATATCACCGAATCAAATAAAGGTTTGGTAAGTAAATGTGTACATTTTGTATAATTAAAGAGATTAGTAAAACAAGCTTTCAAATTTTAAGGAAGTGATGAAGTTATTATTCTTTCGTTTAAAAATTTTTATTAATCTGGGCCTGTACCCCGCAAAAAAACGGCTCATTTTGATTGGCCAAAAGTCAGTTGGTCTGAGTTCGTTCCATACATTGTTGTTTTGCGCATTGACGCGCGTCAAAAGTTGAGAGTTGGGCGATTTTTATCAGTTGCGGCAATGCATGCGTTGCCAATGTAGCGTCTTCTATTCAAAATCCCAGAGTTAACTTCGATGTCAGTCAAAAGTATCCCTGTGCCGCAGAAAAGAATTTCTATCTGGCGGTGCCTTTACTGGTTATATTGTGGTCTACCTTATGGGATTCGCGTGTTAACGAAAACTCACCACCGAATGGCGGTGACCTTGCCGTTGCTTCTCTCTCTCTCTCTCAACAGTAAATTTTATATGCTGCTACGTACGTCAACCTACGTTTACGCTACGTCGTTGACTAGCTGCGCTTTTAGACACTCAGATCCTATAAGATAGATAGTGTTAGCTGACACGTTCTCCGTTTTAAGCTCCATAGGTAACTGCCCTTTTTTTACTCTAGTTGGTTCCAATAGATCAAATATAGCGTTCTCGTTTATCAAGTTTTCTTATTTTCCGACATTCTCCCTTTTGGTTTCGATACCAAGTGTTATTTTCCGATACCTACTTAGGGCCGGTTGTTCAATGTCTGGTTATCACTACCACTACACTATCGACGATTTCGACATCATGCATGTAACATGTGATCGATAAAGCAGTAGTTGTGCTTAACCGGAGCTTCTACCTCCGATTTGTGCTAATCAGACATAATATACCCTGTAAAAGTATCGATGTTTAAAGTACTTGATTTCAGGAGAAAGTATCGAGTAGTTACTCGTATTTACTTGTATCGGCACGTCCCTAATTCTACTCATTTTGAGTGCAATAATTAATTACTTGATACCTAAATAAATACAAGATAAACTGATGTTAATACAAAAAATAAAAACAAGGAGCGGTTAGTCTCGTTATGAATAGCAGCAATGATAGTAATGATACAGGCGCCACCTTTTCGAGGTTGCAAACAAGTGAAACTGGAGCCTATGTGGCCAACTCAAGTTCACCTGAAGTTCATAGCTCAAGGACTCAATATGCACCATTAGTTTTGCATTCATTGGAAAATACTAGCATCACAATTGAAGAAAATACAGCGGGGAATAGAGCAATTTTGGACTTCTCTAATGAAACAAACAATGCGGGGAACATCATGGAGCAATACGCTCGATTTCTAAGAGACCGAGTGGCAGGAGTAACTAGGAGCCGTTTAAGCAACATTATTGCAGTAACAAGAAATAACGATCTTTCTCGTCAGAATGCATCCGGTGGAGGGACACAGTTGGATAGCTTCCATCGTGTTCGATCGCTTCCTAATTCACTTGGAAATTTAAATAGCTCATCAACAATTGAAGTTTCACCAACAATGGCTACCGCCGAGCACTCTGTTAGGTCTACACACCTTTCTGGTGGACACCTTATGAATAATCAGAATATGATAACTTTGGGTCACGATTTACAAGGTAATGAAAACGCCATTCCTGGCCGAATAGATTTACAAAGGATACCAATTTTATCGCCGGGCCAGCACCTGCATCTATCACATTTTCGAAATAATGGTGCAATGAGTGACATTGGCAGTATTCCAAGCACATCAAACTTAATGAATCAAACAAATACAAACGGGGATCGAATTATTGAAGAAGGAAATAATTTGGCAGACCAAATGACAGGGTCCTCTTCCAGTGTAAATGCCTCAATTGACAATGTAACAAGAACCACAGAAGAGTCGGCAACATCGACAAATGAATTATATAATAATTTTTACCCCGACGTAGTCATCACAACTCTTCGACAATGCCTTCACTATATACCGTTTGCTTGCATACTGTTCGTAAAGTTCTTTTATGACCACTTATTGGGCATTTTGGATATAATAATGTTGCAGTTTGTTATGTATTGTGTTAACAAATCCTTGCAAACGCAAGTTATAAGACTTGATCAAAAGAAAAACTCGATTATTTTACGAGACTTATTTCTAGTTGTTGCTGTAGTTACGCTGCGACTGTTGCTCGCTTCAGCGCCGCCTGACCCTTTCGGCCTGCTGATAGGACCATCATCAGATGAACGTAATATCATTCATCAAATAGTGCTTAATAATCCCCAATATACCAACACAGTGTCTCAAAGCCAACTTCCGGCTACGATGCAAAGTTCAGTTGAAAGAACAGTTATAATACCGAAATTAATATCTCTAGAAGCGATACTCTATTATATAGCTGTCAATGATCTGGTTCTTAAATTGTTCACTATTGCTATAAAATTACTTGTTACTTTAATACCTCTACATTCAATAAGACACAAGCAAAGGGTATGTTTATTGACGCTTTGCCAAGTTTAAGATTTATATATTTCTAACTCCAATTTCTATATTTAGACGCGCTTGTATGTCTTCATGGAATTTTTCTCACAATTCTACCGCTCGCTGGTTCCCATCCGGCAGTGGTTATTATTCCTCTTTGAATCTTATTCTGGCCTACATGCTGTGAGTAAATTTTATACACATACTTAATTTTTCAAGCAAAGAATGTTTCCTCTTAATCAGATTTCAGGTGTTATGTTTTCTTCTACCTACATAGTACTCAAAGGATGTGAATTGGCAGACCGGGGAAAATCTCTAAAGAAATCTTTTATTAATCTACTAAAAGATGTGGTAATAAAATTTAATAATAATATTGAAATGAAGTTAATGTTTTCTCTTAATTAGGATAAATCAAGACGACCGGCGAAAGATAATTTCGATACTTCCGACGAGGTTTGCGCCATTTGTCAAGACACTTACGTCTCACCGGTGGTTTTGGAATGTGGACACATTTTCTGTGATAATTGTGTAACCACATGGTTTAAACGCGAGCAAACATGCCCCATGTGCCGCGCAAAAGTGGGAGATAACCTTGCCTGGCATGACGGCTCCACATCGTTTTTCTATCAGCTTTATTAAGTAGGCTTACTCTTATTATAAGTTAAAAGTGAAGTATCATACAATATTAGAGCCTGAAGTAAGGTTTATTTAAATATTCAGTACTTTGTTTCTATGACCATTCCTTTGGCATAACTTCCAAAGAAGAGACAAGGTATGTACATCACTTATTCATTTTGTTTGCTTCAATTTGCCAATCGTATGCTTTTGAAACATTAGGCCATCGGTCTCTGTTGCTAAGCTATTAATTTTAGCATGCTGTTCCTTGCTAACGATTTCTTCCATTATTTCGCTTTCACCTCTGATCAGACGAATACGTCCCGTGTCCGGATCCACAACACGTCGCATTTGACTTTGCCGTTGTTGATGTTCCTGTGGTGTGAGGGGCGTATGTGATTTTGTGTTCATTAGCTCTACTGGTATTTCAAAACCACTTTCATCATTAGCAACTTCGTCTGTGGTGTCCTTTTTTATATTTTTATGCTTCCGCTTACTTTTTTTATGTTTATGTTTTTTGGACCTTTTCTTGTGTTTCTCAGTTTTTCCCATTTTTTGGAGTCTGCTGCAATTTTTTTTATCTGCAGTATTTATTAAAGAGTTGCCATCCAATTTGTATTCTGTATAAGTTTTAGTAAAGCAAAATACACAACACAAGCGGCTTGACAAACCTGGTGAAATATCCCTTTTGCTCAAGCCAGATAGAATAAAAGATTGCGCTGATTAATGTGAGGCTGAATTTCTTTATTAATTCTGAACGTTTGGAATAAACTTTTTTGTTTACTTATTCTTTAGAACGTTCCTGATGATATGTTAACGTATATTTCAAAAGCATTCTGTTTATTCCGGCTGTGAAATGGGATTATCCGGAATGTATAAAGAAACGCAGCCTGAAATTCGGGAGAGTACCGTCAATATGACGTCATCGGAGATTTGCCGGCGGACAGAGTTGAGAGAGATCTATCAGTATGTATATGTTTTGCATGTGTATGGGCTTGTTCTAGTTGCAATCACAATCGCAGTTATCACGTTCGGTGTTTACCAACATTTTATCAGTTGGGCAGTTGCAACAGTGTTGCAAATTTTCATCAGTATTCGTTTCACCATGCCTCTTGCTCCAAGCTATTTGTGTTGTGTATGGAGGTGTTTGATGGTTTGACAAGCCGTTTGAGGGAAATTTTAACAAAAATTAAAATTTTTTGATTTGTCGACCGCTATGTTCAAGTTTGATCAAACTCATGAACGAATGACACAAGATCACGCGGGAAGGAAAGAACGAAAAAAGTTATTTTCTAGCTGGCGAAATCTCGACGCCATCTTTGTTGTAAGAAGTAAACAACGAAGAGAACGGAGAAAACCGCGAAATTGTTGAACGCATGAAAAATCATTTTTATTATGCAAATTCTTCTAAAAATCATGCCGTTGTGTTAAATTATTCTTTATCTTATGTGTACACACGTTGTCACAAGCGAAAATGAAGAAAATTGCAGTAAAAAGCCACCACCAAATTGTAAACAACGAAGAAATGTAAACAAACGGCTAATGTCAAAATCGTTCAATTTTTTTCCTTAATGCGATTCTAACGGGCTACTCTCCTGAACGCGTGATCTTGTCTTTTTGGTTCATGGATCAAACTGCTTGTGATGTAAATGATAAATTAGCTCCATACAATGGAATTTTCTCAGAGCGAGGACGTAAAAGAGAAAAATCGAAGAAAATCATCAGCCTTATCATGAAACTCATTTCCCCGACTTCTCACTCCTGTTTTCCATAGTTTTACTATGCGGATGACAAATTTGTTCAAACCGCTTGCGTTGTGAATGATAAACTCGCCTCGTTTGCAACGGAATTTTCACCGAGTGAGGACATGAGAGGGGAAAAGGGAAGTAACACAATTTTTAGCATTGTGAACCGGAATACATTTTAAATTCTTTGGTTGAACGAGTCATGTTTGCATGGTGTATGGCGAAATGGGAAGAGTAGGTTTGAAGTATATTTGGCAAGCCGCTTGCGTGGTGTGTTTCGCTCTTTATTAAACAGGTAAAAGGTTCGATTAGAGATGTCGAAAAATCATTGAAAATATCGACGTTTTGCTTCGATGCATCGAAAATATTTTGCTTCGATGCCTAGAAAATTTACCACACGCAGCCTAAATAGTCGATGAATCGAGACATCGATGCATCGATGTTTTCTGTAAACTGACATCTCCAGTCCATCGAACGCCCAAACATCGCTTTGTTCAAAGAAATCAAGATGCAGTTTCATAGCTCATACAATTTTAGAATAATTCACTTTAATATACCAAACTTTTATTAGCTATAAAACTGCACACTCAAAAACGTTCTAAACACTAATATTAAAATGTTAAAAATATTGATGAAAATTTGTTGAATTTTTCTGAATTTTATATAAAGTTTGAAACACTTTGAAACACTGTTACTTTTTTTGGTTAAAGCACTATTTTTATAAAAAATTACAAACTTGAAAAACGTAATGAATAATTAAACAAAAGAAATCAACACATGAATACTTGTTTAAGTCGCCGATAATCAAAATAAAAGTTTGTTATACCATGTTCCGATTAATATCGAAAACATGTTTTCGTTGCTATACCTGGTTTACGACCGAAAACTTGCGTTTTCGTCCATGTAAAATCTGTTAAACGAAAACCAGTTTTCGCGGAAACCTACTTGAAAACTCACGTTCAACTCATTCAAATCGGTGTCTGCACTAGTATTCCAGATATATTTATCGAAGTGGAAGTCATATTTTATCATCTCGAATACGCTAGTTGGGGTTTATACCATGTTCTGACCGACAACGAAAACACTTTGAAAACGATTTCTGGGATTGTGGGCTGAAGGCTGTTCACACCGGCTGTTAGCGTTTTCGTTGACATTTCTTACATCTTTTGATTACAGTTTTGCTACAAAAAAAACAGAACCAAAACACTTTTCCTTCAATTCCTTTTCATTTACAACCTCATCCTTTCATTCTTATTTTACTTAGGCCAACCACAGGCCAAACAATTAACAATAAATCCGAAATGGTGTATTAAAGATGATAAAATATGACTTCAACTTCGATAAATAATCGAAAAAAACTAGTGAAGACACCGTTTGGACTAATTGGAACGTGAGTTTTCAAGTAGTTTTAAGCGAAAACTGGTTTTCGTTTGACAGATTCCACATGGACGAAAGCACAAGTTTTAGGTCGATAACCAGTTTTAGCAACGAAAACATGTTTTCGATGTCGGTCAGAACATGGTATAAGACAGATCGTGTCAGCTGACTCATGTTTACGTAGCGGTAGATTTACATTCTTGACTAATTTCAAATTTAAGTACCTGTTCATGTGTAGTTATAAGGTGTGATGCAGTATGAAAACCTATACAGCAACCACATGAAGATAATTTTAAAGTTATTTCAAGAACAAGCAAAATTTTTAAAATTCAAATATATGGAGAAAGTAAGATAATTTCAATACACCGTTTAAAACCTGCTTTTCAAACTCAAAACCCCACGTCGAGTTACATTTAATACAAATTTATGATAAGGTTTATATCGTTATCACTAGGAAGGGGGTACTATGGAGCTTCTACTCTATTATATTTTACTTTAAATAATTAACAACAATTACAAATTGGAAAATGTTTTAATTCGTATTTTGTCAAGAAACAAAATTTTTCAGTTGGTTGAATTAATTGAATATTCATAACGTTAAAATATTAAAAAGTATTTTATTCAACTACAACAAATGTACGGGCAATGTGCAGAAAGCCTTAGTTTTCGATACCGAGAAAATGGTTAGGTATCTTATCGTATTATAACGGTTAATTCTAATTGGTTTATAATGGCTGCGTTTCTTTATACATTCCGGATAATCCCATTTCACAGCCGGAATAAACAGAATGCGTTTGAAATATACGTCAACATATCATCAGGAACGTTCTAAAGAATAAATAAACAAAAAAGTTTATTCCAAACATTTAGAATGAATAAAGAAATGCAGCCAATGTCTAGTGTCTAGTGAAATTTAAGAAACTAGATATATTAGACTTCTAATGTAAAACAAAATGTTTCTCTAACATTAGACTGTATTTTCTGGGTGGTTTAAAGTTATTTTAAACGCTGGAGCTGGCTGGTTTAAACTAAGATTAGCTAATCAAATGTCAGCCAGCTGTTAAACTTAAACTTATTTTACGTGATCTAATTTTAAACTGACACTGAAAAACTGGCGTTTGAGGAAATTTTGGAAAATGCGCTTGTATAAAGTTTTAGCGAACTTTCCATGATTTGATGTTATGCGAAATACAACCCATCTACGTTTTATGTCAACAAAAAAAAATCTACCTTGCATTGGAAATACGGCAGCTCTAAAAAATCGGAACTTCAATGTAGAATTGCATCTGCTCTGAATGAGAAAGACAAGGATCACAGAAGTTGTTAAGAAGTAGCAAAACGAAGATTGTTCGACGCGACATAAAGCGGGGTTTTACTAAAAATAAGTTGAATTAACGCAGCAAATTGGTAAATTACTTAATAAAAATATTGCCTACAGGGATGAAATATTAGCATTGTGATGTAAATGTTTAAAAGCGTGCAAGCCACGTCACATCAATAGTTTGGATTCTTTGTTAAATCGTTTCAAGGGGGAAGGGGATTGATGTGCTGTTGTAAATAGGCGAAAAATAAAAATGGCCATCACAAGCTTGCCAGACTTATAGATACATGTACTTAGCCGCAGTAAAAATTGTTTAAAAGTTTTGAATAATGTAAGCTCAATATATTCTTTATAACTTATGTGTTATATTTTAATTCACACTTAATAATACTAAGGTATTTCTACTTCGTATAGAAATTATGTGCGATATTTTAAATGCATCTCTGTATAGACAGCGCGGTTTGCACTTCAGCCTTCTCACTTTCATTTTATCTTTGTGTGTACTTTTGTGTTTTTCTCTTGCTTCTAGCTCGAACATTTATTTTGTTCAAAAATATTGTGAGAGAAAGCAGGATGACATGATTCGCACCCGGTGTGCAGATTTGCTTCGTTTCGTTTTTATACGACCGTACTTCTCATTCCTGTTCCTGTCATCGTTATT